TGTGTTTATGGAATGTCAACAGTACAAAAGGCAAAGAGATCAACTATACTCTGCACTACCAGGAGCTGGAATACAGACAGTGACATTGAGAGACATTTAAATCCTCATGAGAACCAATTGAGGATACTGGAAGCAGTCATGGACTTAATATCTGCAACAGGATTACCTCTCTGAGAATGGTGATGCCATAAAACGATACTGAGAATGAACTGTGAGAGGCAGCAATATGCCGTAAGGCATCTAGTCTGCCAGAAAGCCAGAAGAAGGAGAAGAAGCACATGGACAGGAGCAAGAGTTTCAGAGTGGTGAGTTATTAATCTATAACAAAAGTATCTTTCATCCATAAAGTTTTAACTGAGCTCTGTCTCTACATCACAGTAACAACTTTATGTCCGTTGACTGCCTGGAGAGGGAAGCGGCTGGGCTACAAACAAGCTTCTTTTCAAGCAGTTCAGAGCAGAGTTTTCTGTGGGTGATGGGACTTTGGGCTTTTTCACTTTGCAAATCTATTACATGCACAAAAAAGGTATATAACTCAATAAAGGAGAGAGAAAGCCAAAAAGCACAATACCACCTCTTTAACTTTCTAATGCCCAGGGAAATATGTGCCGTCATGCAAAACTTAATCCAGGCAGCATTATGTTTTCCCCAAAAGGAATTTTGCTAATGCAAAGAATGAAAACATGTGAACATAAATTCTGGGATGTAAGATTGCAAAGCTTAACATAAAGTCCATAGTGTGATCCTAGATGGGCCTTAGGCTGAAATATGTGCACTATGACATACACGATCAGTGTCGAAGGACTGTACTGTGCTTTGCCTTATCAGTGTTATACTGTTATCTATTCTCCACATGTATTATTTCTGCCTAATTAGGCCCTTTGCTAGTGAGTCATCCAGCTGCGTGTTACCCAATGCATAAGCAGAGCTGCACTTGTCTGCGATGTTAATAATGGCTGGAGCTGTGGGAAACAGATGAAGCCAGAGTTGTGACTGTTGTTAAACAGATAGCCTTGTCCTTGAAGCTGTTGATGAGAGAGCTATGTTTTATTGATTCAATCTTGATACATTTTACATGTGTTATAAGTGTTTTGCTACTACATTGTTAAACATTGTGCTTCGGTTTCATTTAGCAGGGGGACAAATGACAACAACGAACCTTTCAACCTTTTGAATCTACTGATTCAGTGGAAATAATTTGCAAAGACCCTGAGCCACAGACATACTATGAAGATGAAAATATTGTTTGTTTATGCATTTTAGTTTTAATGTCTATAATGTTTACTGCAGTATTTTTCAGTAAAGTGACTGTTTTAATGGATTTGGACTAATTCTCTTTCATTCTAAAGCCTACTATGTAATTGTTAGTAGTACTTTACTCACATTATTCATTACATGTGACATGAAATGCTATCAGCAGTTTAAATGAATTGAACTTGACTTACTTGTAACAAATTGACAGGAGCTAATATTCTATACTACATATACATAATGTATTAGACAGGTTACGTGAATATTCTACCCAGAGGTCCTTTTGATTACTAAGCTAGTACATGTCCTTATCTGCTGCCATGTCTTTCGTGGGTGCGGGTGAGCATAATTGAAAATGTCTTTGAATTAATTGCTATAATTTTTGATAACTGTAGACTGTTAAGTAGACTAGACAGGATATTTACCCTGCAACCAGCGACTAACCTCATCAAATTAGTTTCTCGATCAGTAGTTCCTGAATGAATTTCACTGCTAGTTTTCACTGTCACATTTCCATCCATCTGTATATTGATTTAAAACCACATATATGTATGGACTCTAATGATTGTTCAGTTCATAGTACCTTGTCAAGTCAGTTACAAGGGCACTGAATCTAAATTTCAAAAGCTAAACATTATAATAATTTTTGTGCATTATACAAGCCAAAAGGCATGTAGTCTACAGCATGAAGACACTTTGCATTATTAAAGTCATTACTCAGTAATGGGGTTGCTTTCCAGGAACATTGGCATTAACCTACAGAACATCAATGAGCTACTCTATAAGACATTTAATCATGGGTGTATTAACAACAACTAATATCTGAAATCCATCGCCTAACCCACAAAAGGCTGTAAGATGAAAGCTTAATGTAATTGATCACATTATGTGGGTTATTTGTTTTCACTTGCATCAAATGAACATACCATCTATCAAAGAGTAATTGGCCATGTAGGGTCAGCTCTGCCTAGGGCCTCAGCGTCACCATCTCTCGCCTTCAAAAACTTCCCTTCAAAGTTCCATCGTAACTGCAAAGCCACATTTGGCACACCACTGTTCATAAATATAAACAAGCAACAATGAGATCTCAGAGCTTTAATGTACAATCTATGTGTGTGTGTGTGTGTGTGTGTGTGTTTGTTGTCAGGGGTAATATCAGGGGTTATTTGAATTAACACACTTGTGTGCATGTGCAACATGTCATGTAGTCTTTGGTGTGATTTGTGTGAGAGTGTGCATGAACAATGAAAACAGCCAGGTTGACAGTGTTCTGCGTCTTGGGCATAACTTATTATGCATGCTCCATATGTCCTACCCAGGCTGCATCCCTGCACATCAAAGATACAGGCATAGCTGGAAATGTCACTGAGTTGCCATCTGCTATAACCTTGAAAGTCTGTTGATCATTCGAGTTCCTTTCTCTTTATGCTTGATGAAGCATGCCACCATTGACTTTCATAAATGTACAGAAACTGACAAGATGTTCCGATTTCTGAGTGAGGTCAGAAATTTTTATGAAAATGCATCAAAGTAAAATTATTGATTGCCCTACAGCATAAAGTATTAAGTGAGGGATCTATGCAGCTCTGATGTCTGTCTGACACACTGAGACAGGGAAAATATGAAAAATAAAAAGGCTTCATGTTCATCTTTTTACATAAGAGTCCCTTCTCTCTTTCTTGCCAGTAACATATTGATCTCTGGCTCTCTCTCATCTGGAAGGTCCCTGATTTGATCCATCCAACATTCATGTATCATGCCAAAGTATCCAAACTGCTACCTATTCATAGAGTCACATTACATTAAGGAGGTGCAGATGAAAATGTGGCAATTCCATCTCCAGCGCATCTCTGGGGTAAACAAAAGGTATGCAAAACATTATCAAGCATAAAAAACTATCTCAGCATTTGCAGCTAAATCTCAAGAGTGATGAGTGAGTCTTGGTATTTCGGCCTTCTGCAGTCGTCTCCTCGAATTCTTCGCTCAGCTTGAACTTGATCTCGTTGGTGTTGAACATGCTCTCAGACTTCATTGAAATAACCCCAGCATCGGGATTGAATGTCACAAAAAGTATAAACTCCTTTTTGAAAGGCAAAAAAGGCCAAACCCATCTTTTATTATTGTTGTTGTTGTTGTTGTTGTTGTTGTTGTTATAACAGAATACTGTCCCTGCCTCCACTTGCTGCTCTATTGCCTCAGTAAATTACTTTTTTTTAAATTTCTGATCAAATTACCAGATAATTAAGGCGATTAACAGACCATTGTCTTGTGCTTTGGTGATTTTGTTAATCTTCTTGCTTATTACAAAACAAACATTACATTTAATTTGAAATTATTTAAATAAAACACCTTCATAGAGCCAAGAGTGTATGAGCAGATGACTCCTGTGAACAGCACATATGTGACAGGACTCTGTAAGTATTCTGTCATCATACATCATGTCACTTGACATCATGTAGCTTCAGGTAAAAATGTAAAAAAAATTCCATTTTCATTTATGATTAGCGTCCTGCCCGATATTTTTGCTGTAAAATAGTGCTCATAACATAGAAACACAATTAACTGAAACGTGTCTTCCATTTGTTTACATTCTTTTATTCTGATTATGAAAATGAATGATCCTCAGGTGGTTTTAATTAAAGAGTGTATTTGCTCCACCATTAATTGTTTTAATGTAGCTAAGCTGAAGAGGGTTAAGGTTGAAACAGGAAGTTATGATAATTTTGATCTCTTACAAAGAGATTATGCGTTATTGAAGGTTTTCTCTCATTTGCGCATTAATTATTATGGAAGATAAGCCAAATTAGGCCACTGGAGAGGGCTTATGCAACTTATTTTTCAAACCAGCTGTAACATCTGTTCTTCATTGATGAAGCACATCTCATTCTAGAGAAGCATAAAATAATTTCCATGCCAGCGGAAGTAACCGCAGATTTGTTTGTTGTTTTTCTTTTCTTTCCAAGTAATCTAAATAATTCATATGATCATTTATTGTTTTCTGAAAAAATAAAACTGCTCCCGCAAGTTTTCTTGAATTATTTTAGACAACATGACCTCACATCTTAAACACATGGAGATCCCATTTATAACTTAATGCGTCAGATCTACTATCCCAAACACAGAACTCTTCGAAAGAACACTTCCCGTAGAAGTAAGCAAGTGGTATACTTTGCAGATTAATGGGAACAGTTGCTTGTTTGACATGTTCTTGTTGAGCTAGGGTTTCTCAGGTGGAACAAATTGAATTTTGTTTATGCTCTATCAGTGTGAGCTACTGGTGTAACACTGTCTGAGCAGTGGAATAGAAAGCCAATTTCAGATGCAATTTATGCAAAACTGTGCAGCCATCACTACAACACTCCCTCCTAATCCTTAAACGGTACTCAACAGAGAGCTGACATAAACTCTACATGTAAACCTCATGTCCATCAACACTTTACCTGTTGCAGTTTCTCCACCATGTGGCCACAGAATGAACTACGTTTGGCATTTAATTACTGTGATTTTGTAGTCAGTTCGTTTTTTTTTTTGCTAATGCCTGGACTCTTGTTCTCGTGATTGTAATATAAGCTCTCACTCAGCCTATTTACATATATTATTTTCAAATGTAAAAACAGCTTTTTCATATTTAACTTCTTTTAAAACTTATCGATAATTTATTTTTGTTCTTACTTTATTTCCTGGTATTAAGCAATAGAGAAATACCCAGAGCGGCATTTTAACATCACAAATTAAAAACAGACTCCAGATCACAGAGCAATAATGGTTTTATTTGGATGCAGGGGTTTTCAACATCCAGTCAGTGGTATGGTGTACATTACATCACAGGGTTTCAACCAACCAGACACTCATCAACAAACAGCATCACTAGACAAACAATTAAAGAGAAGGTAAACAGAGTGACAGCAACTCACACTCCGGTCCCCACAACATGACAGGCTTTTAGTCTGCTCTCTTACTGTAATGTCATTTTTTTATATTAACGTAATGTCTTCGCATGTCAGCAGACAAACAGTGATACCCATTTCAGCACACATCCCAGGAAAGAAAATGTCTGTGTCACATCACATGTAGGGAAAAGGAGAGTGCACCACGTGCCTTATAACCTCTGCAAGAAGAGGGTCCATATCAGTCCCACTGTTTCCAACAATACTGCAATGATTTTGCTTTAAAAGGGAAGGAGCTAAGAGACAAGAGTTAACGGCTCAAACACAGCACAAGCAGTTCACACGGAAAACAAAAAGATGAAAGAAATGTTCTGAGATGATTCTACTGAACTTCACCAGTAGATTGTGTATACAGTAGTTTTTATAATCACCAACACACAGGCGAGCATTTCATGATGATTCTTCTGTAATTCACAAAAGGAACATCTTTACACCATTTATTCCTTATGGAGGTCTGACAACTGAGTTTAGAAAGTAAAGATAAAAAAGCCAGTCAGTTTATAATAAACATGACAACTAATAGACACAATTTACAGTTAAAAAAGTAAATACAAAAGTACAATAAAAATTGAAGTTGTGCACAAAAGGCACTCAAATTGTCTGCTCCACTTATATAAGTGTCTATAAATTAAAAAACAACAACAGTCTAGTTAAATATAAGGATGATAATTCCCCTTTTGAAAGTGTGTGCTTGCTTTGTATTTTAATAAATGTATGTCCTTTTTTGTAATAGTAGGCTATCTTCATAGATTTAGGCGCAAAACTGTAACCAGAACAAACAAATAGAATTTTATGGATACGTTTAGTGATTGTAATATCAGCTGCAGATCATACTTATAATGCCCACATAAAGTGACGTATCAGGACGCAATACCAGCCGAAACCAGCAGAGGATGTGACTGCACTGCATGACTTTAAATGCTGTATTTCTTTTTTTCTGGTTGTAATAGCTCTCTGTTCTTCACACTGGACATTTATAAATCTGTCTCTGACAACTAAAGAGCAAACAATACATTGACAAGAAGCAACACTGCAGTTGACAGTGGAATCAGGGCCTGGATTGCATGCTAATATTTAAGTTTCTTTTGTTTCAAGCATTGTTCTCTTTTACTTCTATTTTAGAAACTGCTACAAGCAGCTTAATTCCCAGTCCGCATAAATGCCAGAGCCCATTTCTTAGGGGAAAAAAAACCCAAACATCCAATATTTAATTAATTGTGCGTTTTACCAAGGCATGGCACCACATACAGCCATTGTTTAACTGCCCCAGAATATGAGTCAGACATTACAGCACAAAACATGCAGAACAGAGCAGGCTCTTTGGGATGCGGATAACAAGGTCTCTGGACAAGAGCTGTCAGAATGACAAGAGGTACAGTAGATATAAACACAACGAAATGTGCTCTATTTAGTTTTCTTCCAACAAAAAAGAAATAGTCTACAGTCAGAGCATAACTGTATCTATCAGCGAAGATAAGAAAAACGCAGGAAGGAAGGAAACAGCTGTCATATTCGTATCTCACAACATCATATTTCTCAGGTTCCCGTGGGTGAGAATCACATTTTAAATTTGAAAGAGGAACTGTCAGAGGGTACTTTTTAATGTATCTTGTGCAATAATAAAATTACCCAAATTAGACTGAGAAAACAGATCAAGCTTTGTAAACTGAGTGCGTCAAAAACATAATGGAGAAAACATTTATTCAGCCTTTGTTGTCTGTTCAACAGCAATCAGTTTTCTAAAGTACTATTGCCAAATGCAGTGGTAATTGTGCCAATTGGCTGTACTCATCTTTGAGGTCAAGTCCGGACCTCTGTATTTTTCTGGGGTGTATATAATAATTGCCTAAAAATAACATTACTTTGGTGTGCCAATACTACTGCACACTGACATGGTTTTAAAGCTTCTGTTATCCAATTGCATGCCCCCAGATCCCCCTGGCAAGCTTAGTTTTTGGACCTCGGTATCAGAACAGCCAAAGAATATGTTTGTAGTTTACTGAAGATGATAAAAAGGTGGTTTATGATCTTAACACGTGCTTCACAGCTAACCCTTTGCCTTTTTCATAATAGCCTGTACAAGATTAACATTTAAAAAATTACTAGCTATATATTATGTACAAGTTTACCACAGAGTTCCTACATTAGTTGGTGCATTAGTTTTCTGCATTTCATATACAGGACATAGAAGGAAAAAAAAACATGGAAGCAGCCACGTTAAGTCTGCCCACAGTCCAACCATACATGATGGTAGAGGATGACTTGCTTTGTTTAGTTCTGACTGGCATGTCTAAGAGTTCAGTGATCATTTCCATGCGGAGATGCTTTTATCTTTAGCAGTGAACGCGATGACTTCAGGTACAACATTTTGAGTACCAGTAGATTTAAAACATAATACTGTAAGATCCCAATGTGTTACTTGGTCAAATATTTGGACATCTGAAACGTGATTTTTAGATAATTTTTGTTCCATCTTTGAAAATTAGGTTTCAAACTAATATTTTATGCTACAATGACCATATGAGAAAAAAAACATCATTACAAATCTTTCATTGTACTCCAAATCCTGCATGCAGACGTATATAACTAAGTTACAGCCACTGTATTATAGTACAAACAGAAAGCATGGCGACTTCAAGTAAGTTTGTATGTACAGCCATAAGGCCTGTGACCTAAATGGTAAACAGACATGGTATTTTAGCCTGAATGTTTACACCCGTCCAGATGAGGCGTTTCATAAACCAGTAGGATTGACTGAAACATCTGCTGGACAATGTGTGCTGGGTGGAAACTAATACCAAATTTCACACAAGTATTGCTTCACTTGCATTTATTGTATCTGTGAGAGCAGAACATGGGCACAGATTTTTGTTGAAACTGAGGTAAAACTGAAAGATGTGTATTCTTATACACATTTTCTGTAGTTAAATCAAGTTTCAAAGAGAGGTGAGCTTTACGCGATGACACCTCTACAGCTTCTGCCACCATGTTATCACCATGGTAACACACTGTACTGTAGGCTCGCTTCAGGAGCTTCCTGAATATATGAATTAAGTCAGGCAGAAAACAGAGAGCAAAATATTCATATCTGCTCTTCACACATCAGCGCCCATTTCCGTAAGCTTTCCCCTAACTTGGAAAACTTTACAACCTTCCCTCCTAGCAGATTCCACTTTTGCTACATGGTACCAGACTTATCCCCGGCATCACTGGAAGTATTCATATTAGAACCAGTGTTATTACTTGGAAACATCTTCTCAGTGGGAGTTACAGCAGGGCTGCCGACCCCTGAAGAGCTGGAGCTGCTCGAGCGGTGCTGGTTGGGAGCAGGACGCACCGGCCTCATGGGCGGGGGGCGCAGCTGAGCCCCAGCCAGCCGGGCGGAGAGAGCGGGTTTGAAGGTGGTCATCATCTCAGAGGTGGAGCTGCTGCTGCGGCGCATGGCTGCATCCGGGTCACGGATCATAATGGTATGCAGTGGACTGCCAGGCTCAGAGCTAACTGGGTTCTTCATGGGCTCCAGGGTGTCCAACACCACGTCGGGAGCCTGCTTAACGGTGTTCTGTCGCTCCAGCTCACGTAGCTCATGGAGTGCTGTATTCATAGTCTTCTCGATGTCCTGGTAGAAGAGGTATGAAGATTAATCATATGGAAATGAATGCAAAGCAATGGGTATGGTAAAAAGGATACATCCACATTGCAAAAACAGAGCAGCATGGTTTGAAAAATGGTTAGTTGAGTGAGCATAAGTATATAGGTATAAGTGATTTGTGATAAACGGGCTAAAACATGCAAAACTAGAAGGCCTATGCTCCTAAATAATTCTACTGGGGCACTTTATCACTTAAACCGTTTTGTTTATAAAATTGTGAGATTTTAGATGAAATATTAAAAAAATTACACGCTCAGCAATGAAAATCTATCTTTTTTATACGGGTGTTACTTTTCATTAACTTTTATTCAGTACCTTTTTGAGGTACCTGTACCATTTTGAGATGATCCATCAGAACCCATCAGTTCTAGTCAAGTTAAAGTACACGCTGAACATTTTATGTTTTGATTGTGCTTGGACCTACTGGCTGCAGCCATTAGCTGATGAGGTGCCAAACCTTCACCGCTCTTCAGCTTGTTATTCACTTCCAGGCCTCTGTGTCCTTGAGGTGTGTCTATCTCCCAGCTGCAGTCTGGTCCTGACATTTACACCAGGTCCCAGCTGCTGCTCTCTGATTGACAGCTACATCAGGGGGCCTGGCTCTGCTCTACCAAACCTTCCCAATCCGTTTATATAAACACTATAATTGTCTGAAACTTTATATCAAAGTCTGGTACTGAAAGCAAAAGGCCACCAAACAGAGATATATAAACTAATTATACCAAAAAAAACAACTTCTATTTCCAGGTATAATTTTAGCACCATTTTCCCCATGAGTTTTGGCTCTGCCTGAAAGTTCCCACCTTTACCTCGGCCAGAGCTTCAGTCTCCAGTGATTTGTGGTCCCCAAGGCTGCTGTGACGAGTGGCCCCTGGAACCGGTCTCAGAGGGTGGCCCTCAGGATAGGCCTTCCTGTCTGGGTAGTTGATGCTTCCCGCACTGCCAAAGGTGCCAAGACGCCTCTTTTCTGGGCTCTCCATACGGCCTTTGCTGATGGACACCTTGTGGGGGCTGCTGGGACAGGCTGCAGCCCGTGGCGGAGTGTCAGCCACTCTGGTTGGGCTGTGGGTGTCTGTGCCAGTGCGGCGACGTGGGATTGCAGCTCCATCGGACCGTAACCTTACCCTGTGGAGAGAAATCAGATTAGACTTCCAGTCAAACAAGAAAATTTATCAATACAACTTTTAAAACAAGAAAGGTGTTTAAACTGTATCCACCTCCCCATGACTCCTCCAAAGTTGTAATCAGGTGATTGTTCACATGGTGACGGGACATCATTTTTGGATGAACCCTTATCATCCAGCAATGGTCCACTGCTCGCTTCACTATCTGCTTTTTGGCTGAGGTTATCTGAGAAAGCATCATCCCTGAAAAAGCACAAGATAAACACATGAGGTACATTATAACTACAGTAATTGATCAAAATTTTAGTACTTTATTCAACACAACCGTTTATCCTAATGCTAGCTTCAGCTAGTTAGCTTCAGTAATGATCATTTGACATTTAAGAGACAGAATTACTTGACACAAGACAAACAACAGCTACGAAAACACATTGTGCTGTTACTCACAAGTCTTGTACTACAATGTACTGATGTGGGATGAGGCCATCCACACCATTGTGACGGCCCTCCCACCAGTCTTCAGAAGCTCTGTGATACAGAAGCAGAGAGGCTCCCTTCTTGAAGGACAGCTCCCTGGGACTGCGTCCCACGTAGTCGAACTTAGCGATGGCCTCGATCTGTTCAACCTCTGAAAACACAAAGAAACAAAGAAACATCAACAAAAAGCTTAATAAACACATAATATACAACCCTGGCTCTTGTTAAGTACATATTGTGAGGCTGGAATATGTACTTCTAATTTCTAAGCTTCAGCTTCAACTTAGTATGTCTCAGTTTACATTATAAATATGTCTGACATAATAAACAAACAATTTGCCTAAATTTAACAGGAAAACCTAGTCTTGGCTGCAGTGTATTTCAATAGGCCAGCCAGCAGGGGTCAGTCAGAGTTAACGATGTGGTTAACATCAATCGGCTCAGCATGTAAACACATTAGGCCAGTTTTGCAGCCCTCTTGAAAAACCAACTCGAAGAGTGCAATGGCGTGTAAGAGGACAGTTATAGTTAATGTAAATAAAAATGAAAAGCAGTTTTGTTCATATTTGGTTTCAGTTACAAAGTAATGAACACAGAAAAGGCATGGTCATCACAACAAGGTTGCTTAGTTCCTAATTTGACCCAAACTTGTTTTTCTTCCATGAAAACTGCTGCCAGAGGGAACCAACTGAACTGACTACAGAAACTACAGTGCAACCAGAGCCCATCACGTCACATAGGACTCTCAGTACTAAGGTCAGCATGAGCCGAACCTACAGCAGGCAATCTGCCTGTGTTGTCGTTTCCATGTAAGAGGAAGAAAAGAGAGAAGGGGTCGGCACTCATTACAAACACAGCCAACAGCACAGATGAAGCTCAGAGATAAGGTTACCCCAGTCTGACCTAACACGGTCCATACTCAATAGACCTGTCCACTGACACTTCACTGCCAGCACAGGAGATATTATTCTTTTGGCTTGTGTGCCTGGCCCAGTTATGCATTCTTAGCTCAGACTAGAATTGGGGAAATACTGCACAAAGGAGAAAGTCCCAGGAGAATTGCTGACTAACACTGAACAAAGAGCGAGCAGGGGAGAAGGGACGGGGAAAGGGGGGAGGAGAGAGACTCACACACACAGAAAGACAGATCAAAGAGGCAAAGCAGCATGCCAACACTGTTTACTCAACTTGTCCTCAGCTTCAAACATCACATAAGCCTTTCCAATCATAAGCTTTTGCAGTGCAAAGCTCACTCACTTCTCAATCAAAAGTGCTTAAAAGAAGGTCAGTCTGTGCAGAAGGCTCTCTTATCCACAAAGGTACTAAAATCACATCAAGTGAAGTCCATCTAATATTATTTGCCAATATATGCACTTCTCTTCATCAAGATCAAACAACTAGGCAGTAACATCAATAATAGTACTAACATACTAACATATAACATACTAACAAAGTAATAACATTGGATGCTGTGAATCAGGAAAAGCTAGACGCTATGGCCAGCATGCTAGCACGGTCACAATAACAGTGCTGGCATGCTGAAGTTTAGCATATATCATGTTCCATGTTCACCATCTTAGTTGAGTCTTAGCATGCTAACATTTGCAAATTAGCACTAAACACAAATTGCAACTACAGAGGCTAATCAGTATGTTATTAGTTTTGCTGGTACTTGGTTATCAAGCAAAGTATTGGACAAATATCCAATATTTTGACATGAGGATGGAGCTAGATGAAAAGTCAGTGGATCATTGAGGAGAACACGAATAACCGTGATTTCCTGGCAATGCATCCAATTTGTTATCAGGACATTTAACTCAAAACCACAAAAACCTGCAGGTGGCTCTACAGGTAAAGTCAGGGGATAACCAAGTCAGTTGTTCATCCTAAGGGGACCACGAATGTCTTTACCAAATTTCATGATCATGTTAGTGAGATATTGGACCAAAATGATGGACAGACCGACCTACATTGCCATCCCTTGATCCCTGCACCTAGCATGGCTAAAGAAATACCTTTTTAATAACAAGCCCCCTTCATAAAAATGGATGAAAAATGACTACTATGATGTACTGACCTTCATCACTGGTGTGTGGTTCAGTTCCATTGTCAGCCTCGTCAATAGTTCCTGGTTCACTGTGGGGGCTGTCACTGTCGTTGCAAATGGAACGTAAAAAGATAGCGATATGTAGACATAGAAGCATGAAAAATATTTGCTTGATTAGCTGATAAAAGAATGCAGCTGTTCCTCTGAAACAGCGGACAAGTTGGAGTTGACAAAACTGTAGTCTTAACATAGTTGTACTTTGCCTACATGTGTGGTCTAGCCAATACTTACCAGTACTCCTCTCCCCCAGTCATGCACTTTTCATACACTGGGCCATCCAGCTCACGTTGACTGGGAAAGATGAGTTCATGATGGACAATGATGGTCTTGATGACTTCGTTAACATGTGCCTGGCACGCTACAGGATCCTGTCCGTCTGGGATGGGCATAAGGGTTGGACCAAAGCAGATTGCCAGATTGTATGAATCCATCATGTTCTCGTCACTGTACTGGGAGAGACTGAGGGAAAGAACAGGGGGGCATTGTGTATTTATTTCCTGCATAAACAAATATTACAGATGTAAGCAACCTTTAACCTCAGACAACATAAATACTGCATGTATAGAATAAGTTGTTGTGTTGTGTGTAGTCTGTGTATTAAAAAAAACTGTCAATCAAATTAGGAGTGACAAGGCTACAATCCTTTTTTGTATTTTCATGCTTGGGCTTCCCTTTTGCTTACATATGGATTGGTCACTTGGGGATCGTGGAAACAAGCTGTGAATTCAATGCTGTCTTCCTACCTCCTTTTAAGTTGATATGGTGAACGTTTGATCAAAAAGCTTCATCTTTATACATTCAGCAGACAAGAAGTCACATTATCATTCATTTGCAGTCATAATCCAGATCACCTAGCGATTTTAATTTTGACCTGAAAGATGCTATAAAGCTACATAGTGCAGAGGGGAACTACAGAGTCAAGTGATAATTCTCTGTGGGTTCATGACTTTTTGTGACCCTGTTCTAATACAAGTAGTCATGTGGTCCATTACGTTGTGTCAGTATTAAACCCATAATGCCTGAAAACAAACTATGTAGCAGACAGAGTCGCTGGCTTTAACTGAATTTAGTTTTGACATACACTATTACTTGCTTCATTGCACAGCTCAGTTAAACACTTGCTTAAAAAGCACTCTGATGAGCCAACTCCTTCAACAAATCGACTTGTCCAGCACATGCCACAACCTACTCTTGGTAACCAAATCATTCAGTGCTGCAAGAGGAAGTCATAATCAGTCAGTAAAGCCACAGCTTCAACAACCACGGGTTGTTCAGTAAAAGGAGCATTAATAAAATCCATTATAAGAGGACAGTTATACTACTTTAGCGAGGCATGAGTTTCCGAGCCCATAAATAACTTCAAACAGTGCAGACAGATGTAGCAATAAATAGCAGGTTGGGGTTTTTTTAAATATATTTTTGGATCTTGTCTTGTCACCTGACTGCAGCTGTTCTGTGTTTGTTCAACATCGATTTTCCCCAGTATAATTCAGTTAGCATATAAGTTAAGCTTAAAATTCAATCACAACTGTGCAAAGAATAAAGAACTCCTCTCTACATGCTCTTCTGTATACACCAGGACCTGTGGCTTAAAATGTAATGTGAATCAGTGCAAACTCACTGATTGAGAAAAGCAAAAAGGTATCTCATGACGATTATGACGGTGCGAGAAAGAGTCACAACAATCTGCTGGATGTGATGCGCTCTCTCGGCTCCCGACTCCAGCTCTGAAACACAAAGGACAGAGATAGAGAGGAGGTTTACATTGTAGTAAACAAGAGGCAAATATAGCTTTAAAACTTTTATATATATGGGCACTGAGCCTATAACAACACTGTCCACTAAAATCTAATATAAACCAGACCATAGCAAGGAAAATTGATCAAAGTGAGCAAAAGCAAAAAGCAGAGGAGATTCTGAAAGCTGTTATTTGACACTTTAATAGATGCCCCCTCCTGCCTTTCACCAGACCCCTAAGGCATACTGATCAAACTATTACTGTAGAAACAGCGGGGAAATGTTTCTGTGGTGAACGTGCACACGGCAGACTGATGTGGCCCACACTCTCCTCTTCCTACTGGCTTTCTGTTAAATATCAGACAGAGAGCCCTGGTGTTGAGATTGCTTCCATGTGTTGCATTGCATGCCTTTCTCTACTTCAGTAAAGCTGAGTTTCTGAGAAACTGCGAGGTGTGTTTTATCTTTTTCTATTTGACCAGTCCACTCACGACGGTGATGGCTTTGAATATTTTGTGTTGTTTGTGACTCACTGATGGTGGAGATGAAGTCCAGGAAGCGCTCCTTTGGGAAGATGGGGTTCTCCAGTCCTCTAAAGTAGAGCTTCAGCACCCCTGCCACTGAGTTGATATCATGCTCATTCTGGTCATCAATCAAGGGATCTTCACCTGATTAAGAAAAATTCATGTGCTTTCAGTGGTGACATTTGATGAGTTGAAAATAAGTCAAATTTCCCTGTTTAAGTATTTGTGACATGAAAAAGGGGAAAGCTGGCATAATACCATCTGTCTTTGACTCACCTCTCTCAAATGAGTTTTTAATATCATTGACTTCCACCTGTGATCCTGGCACACGAAATATGCCCTGCTGTTGCAAGCCTGAAAGAAATACAACCAAGAATTTGGAGATTCAGAGTTACGCTAGCTATCATTATCTCCAAACCCCAGTGCCTGCTTCAAGAAAGCCTATTGGAAACACATAACACAGAGCAGGAAATGTAATCTAGTCATAAAGGGAGATGCGTATTTTTCCACGAGAGGGCCCCTCAGTGAGACTGTAGCATATGGTTTCAGTTAGAGGGCTCCTAATCAGTTTTCAGGAGTTTCATTAGGTCCAGATCCAGGGGAAAGGCCTTCAGGCAACGGCAATGAGCTGAAGACAGATGTGAATGTAGACAGGGAGGAGTTATAAAGTTGGTGGGGGGGTGGCTGAGCTGACAAAACAAAGACCAATGGGACTTTCAAAACTCTCTGTGTGTGATCTATTGTTATGAGCTTGTCAAATCACTGGCAGGCAGCTGAGCACCTCAGAGACAGAGGAGGAGAGCTGAGCAGGTCAGTAGCTCTACCTCCGGCTATTTGTGGAAATACACTAGCTGTCACTTCTTATGAGGCTGAAGGAGTTCTCAAAAGGACTTCATAATTTGCTTTCTTTTTCTCCCCTTTCACTCAGAAGTAGTAGTCACTGCAACATGATGCCAGACTTACCATACAGATTGATGTATCTGATACAGCTTTCAACAACAAGTGGGATTGGTTGACCTGAATCCTGAAATGAAATGTTGTGAAAAATAAATACATACAGACAACACAAGAGAAATCTTAGCAAAAAAAAAACGTAACTAAAAGTGTAATAACATATAGTATTTTGTGTAACTTTTATACAGTACTGCTATAAACTGTACAATGTTTTAATAAACATTAAACACACAATAGCCTCATCAACATACTATTTAGCAAATCTAATGAGCAGTGTAAAACAAACAAAAACACCCAAATGATTGTATTAATATATGATATTAATAACCTGGTGTCTCAGAATGCAAAAAGTTGTGGAAACCAGCAGCATGCAAGTGTAGCCCAAGCAGTAGCAGGCACATTTACTATAGTTTTAGTGCCCTTGTGCCCTGACCTATACCCTCCAACAAAAGAGGTACCTGAATGCGGGTGCGGGCATTCCTTCTTCCTCTGGGACAGAAAGCAGCAAGGCACAGAGTAGCAGAGGAAGAGAGGGCAGAAAAGCAAAAAGTTAGAAAAGCTCAGATGACGAATGACCCCTCTGGAGGTTAAAGAAGGCTAAGCACAGGGACTGGCGATAGGAAAGCTACAGAGATGCAGTAAAGGTTTGGGTGCAGTGAGTGACAAAGCAGACCCGCTGCCGTCTCCTGCCTCTCAGTCGAGTAAAGAGTCACTGGGTTTAGAAAAAACAACAACCCAGAGATGGTAAATTGTTCTGGAGGGGAATAAAGAGACAGCTGACTGCTGCTCTGTCTGCACCAGCAGAGCCACAGAAGGGAGGAGGAGGATTAGAGGTTAAACAGAGGCGTTATATCATGATCAAGGCAGCTGAAAGAGGGAGGAACAGAAGGCCAAAGTCAGGAAGAGAATGACAGCGAAGGCTCTAGCTGCCTTCCCCTACTGGGCCACTCAGTCATATACCACTACCACAGGGTACCTTGATGAAGGTCTCCATATTGCCGTTAAACAGCTTATGGTTATACATGGAGCGTGGCCTAGGCTTCCGCATTTTCTGTGGTTTAGGGGGAAGGGTGGGGGGCCTGGGAAATGATGGACAAAGGGAACAAAAACATCATATTCTGTGAAAACTGTAGAACCAAACATGGAGGTATGAAAAAACAGTTGCTAAAACAAAGCTGTAAAAAATCCTCTGTTTAAATAAAGTCATGGAAAAAGACAACAATCGTGATTTAAAGGTTGAGAAAAGCCCAAAGTGAGATGTTTCATTAAAGACGTCTTTTATCATTAAACCTGATAAAAGTCATCCTTTAATTTACTGCTGAGGGGGTTGGGGGGTACAAAGGTCTAGGACTGGATCTTCAATAAAACACATAACTTCCTAAAAACACAGCACAGATTAATGAACAATATTAACAAGGCCAATAAAATCAATCCCGTCAGTTGATATGTCAAGTTGTCTGACAGAAAAATTCGGCATTAAATTAGCAATCAAAATATTGATACGTGTTGGAACTCCAAATTATATGATTCCTCACTGAAAATACAATTACATGTTTCCTACAGTATGTATTACTTTTAATAATATATATCAAAAAGAATGCTGTAACGTGACCTTTATAAAATCATGCATGCATATGTATACTCTTTGTTTACACACTGATTGACTTTATCGACTGCAATATGAAAAGCCTTGCAATGTAGTCAAATATAACGTAGTTTATATATAACATAATTAATTTATTGTAATTTCAATTTTAAATAATTAATTTAATATATTAAAAATGGTATAAGCAGATGCTTCATGGCTGAAAGATGGGAACATCATACCTTGTAGTTCCACACTCAGCCCTTTCCCCTGTGGAAAAACACAAGAGGGACATGTTATATCTTTGTGGTATGTATTATCCAGACTGCAGTGTCCGCCATCACTGAAGGGTTTGATGAGAAACAACATGACTATTGAGAGAGCGATGAATGGAGCAGTGCTAACACCATTCATTGGACAAAGCTATTGAGCAGTCGTTGCTGAACCGTCAGGGGACCCAGAGGACCCTGTGGGGTTATAGACCTCCTCTCAGAGCAAAGAAAAGGGGGTGGCGGTTGCAGTGTGTATATGGGGAGGGAGGGGTCCGTCTGTGGTGACACTGAGCAATGTGATGGTTCACTGAGTCTTTTGTTATGGGTTCCCAACAACACATGCACGTTATGGACAGCATTATTAAAGAAAATGCAGTCGGTAAGCTCATCATCAAACTGAGCTACACTCTTTTTGACTAATATAAGAATTTGTCAGAGTTTATGTTTCTGCTCGATAACATGCATCCTTAAACAGAACACAATGGCTTGGCCAGTTGACTCCAAGATGATCTTGGTTTTCTTTATGAACTGAGAGTAAGTGTTTGTCTGTGTCTGCTAGTGGCTGGATTATCAGATGGAAGCGAGTCAATGTACAAAAAAAGCAACAATGGCACCAAAGCATTCCAACGTTATTTCTTTACACCACCTAACAATGGACAGAAAGAGCAAAGGCTAACCCATTTCTCTACACATCATTCTGGCAGATGGGACAAGGTCTCTGGAGCATTCATGTGAAGAAACAACAGCACATTTCCCAGACATCATTCCTCTGAGTGATAGTCCTGTCTACCTCTGACCAACCAACCTCAAAATTACACCCAGTTTCTCAAGCATGAGCCAAAAACTCTGCGTCGATGTTCCCCTAATTTCATATCCAAAAGTTCCAGGGTCCCTTGGTGATGGAGAGATATAAATTTTACAAACATAAAAGGTGACAAGTACAAATCAAATTCAGTGAACATGGGAATTGGTGACTCCTACTATCTGGGAAACAAGGGCTGGCAGACATCCTAGCACCATCTAGTCTGGTGCCAAAGCTTGACATTATGTTTTCATTAATACATGCAGCAAGATGAAAACGCCATGTGGCACTCACCAGTCTCATCATGTTCCTCCTGTCATGTTCACCAACCACCACGCACATACACAAACACGCTATTTTGGGTGCAAAGTGAGGAGCTAATGAGCACGACGCAACCCTGATTGATCATCTGAATAATTAAATATGGGTGGTACCTGGAGACGCCATATGTTGTGTTCATACACTCTCTCAGCTGCTCCACCACGGACATACAAACAGAGTCCAGAGATTGATAGGAACCATTATGTGAGAGTTTATGATTGCAAATGGAGGCAGTCAGTAGCTTGCCAAAGAGCTCAGAGGGAATCACAAGGACTTTTTGAGGTCCTGAAAGCTCGGCAGAGCTAATAAATGATTAAGTAAGAGATGAATGAATAAATCCAAGGTGTGAAATATGAAAATATGCATGTGCATTGCAAGGCCTCAGCTGTCTGTGCCTGACGCCCTTTTCTATTAGGTGAACCCCCAATGCAGGAGCAGCTGCAGAAATGGGTCTGGGCCAGGTCCCGCTGATTGATTGGGCGTAAATTGTTCACGGCTGAGGTGACAAGGGGACCCCTCGGGGAAGGGAGGGGCAGAGGGAAGCCTTTCTCTACAGCCTGGAAATGTAAACCCTCCCTGCGGCTATATCATATAGAGACTAACTGGATAATGCTTTAACCAATGGAGATAAAAGGGAATGGATATCTCAAAGTAGATGTGGTCTGCTTTTGGTGTGACAGTTTTCCATTTGAGTATCAACTCTCATTTCCTCTTTCGTTCCTGCTTCCCCTCAAAAAAAAATCAGTGTCTTTGAAGTGTCTTATACCTCATTCCCTGCTGCTTATTAGATATGACCTGCACCACTATAACCCCAAAAGCAGCTAATTTTACAGTGATGTGTCGGGACTCTGTGGTTCATAATGACAGGACGAAACACCAGGTCAGGCGCACAGCATTAAAAGACACCACAGACACCAAATAAAAATTAAGTGCAAAGACTCCTTACCTTCACCCAGTGTTTGCTTCAGTAGGTCATGCTTAGCCTGCAGCTTAATGATGAGGTTACTGCCATTCAGAAACTCCTTGAATTTCTGGACGGAAAGATGAAGGCAACAATGAGTGAGCAGCAGCACTAACAGCAGTGTAACATTAGCCCAGTCAAACAATTCAGTGCCGAAATAAAGTCAATCTTTTCTAGTTTTAATTTCATTTCTATTTTCAGAGCATGTGGAAATGATGACCGGTGGCTTGATTTTGAAAAGCAGTGCAAAGTGAAATTCACAGCAGGCTGGCAGGCTATTACCAGTTTGGACTGATAGATGGATCAAAATTGACATGACTCACTGAAAAGTAGAACATTTCAGTCTCCTGTTGGTTCGACCTCCTCTTGGCTACATTCAGCTTGCTCATGTAAGACTCTGAGGCCACAGACTTAATGGATTCAGTGGAGCGGCTGTGCTGGAAGGCATCCGACACGTCAAAGTCCTCTACCGTCAGCATATCCTGCAGCGTTTGCATGGTGGCATCCAAGGTCTTTCTCACCTGCACAGATGGGGAAACACAGAAGTTGACAAATCAAGCATCCTATGTTACTCAGTCTTGGTCATATTTGTCTTTTCTTGCAAGCCTTGATGATGACCTTGGATTGTACTGAAATGACACCAAGCAGCATCTGAATGTCAGGCCAGAGCGACATCAGACTAAGACATGGAAATGAAGAGTGTCTGGCAAAGAGACAAAATTGTATGTAAAATTACTGAAGGAGGCTTTTTGTTCAGGGCTGAGATTGATAAAGCTCATTTCCAGTAATGACATGGCTCGTCCATTATCCTCCCGGGCACAAGAAACAGGGAGACAGAGAGAGAACAGAGAACAGGCAGAGCCATTGGCGCAGGAGAGCCTAACAGGGCCTGGTTATTATCACCTACATTTGCACCTTTGTGTCTGCGGCTCTTAATAAGTCCTCTCTTCATCATAAAATAGACAATTTCATATATAACATAGAAAACTGACAACTTTGGCGCTGTGACAATCTAAATATATTCTGGGCTCCCACAGAGCAAGAGTCAGCAGAGAGTAATTGCAATGAGAACAGATGGTGATGTGGCCCTCCTACTTGGCTCTGGGGAAAATGAGAAATGAGGGCTTTCTGTTTCTGGTGGGTGGGGCTAAAGGTGATGGGGTGGGGGTGCTTGACAGACACAGCCATCATAAATCCTCACCTCCTCATTCTCAATCTTTAGCGTAGCTAAACGAGACTGCAGTTGGTGGTAACGCATCAGGAGTTCAGTCTGGACGGGCTGCTGGGCGCTCACCTGGCACACCTGAGGTGGAGGACACATGGGTTAGAAGAGACAAAATAGATCCATCTGAAGCTTAAAGAGTTATATGGTTAAAAAAAATAAAAAAATAACATCAGTCAGTAATAAACAAATCTTGCACTTAAAACATCTCACCTCATCTCCCATGTGTGGCAAGTACTCAAAGCGCATGGGAGGACAGAACACCTGGTTATGCATATCCATGATCTTGTGCTTGTCACTGCGGGAATCCAGGTTGTCCACTGCATTCTCTATGATATCCAGTCCCTCATGGCGTGATGTCTCCAAGTTGTACTCGGCAGATAAGTAAGTCCTGAATGTGCGTGCCAAGCTAGCGTGGTAGCCCAGGTCACAGCACTGTGGAGATAAAGATTAGATCAAAAACACAAAAACACTTTGTAATGTGGTAGCAGATGGGATAGGAAAAATGGAAATCAAGGACTTTATGTCTGCAGTATGTGTTCTGAAATAATTTTAAAAAACAGTGTTTCAGTGCTGGTTAAGAGTTTGTTTCAAGTCACCTCCATCACAGCAATAATGCTGGGTGATAGTTTTGCTCCGTTGTACCTCCGTTGTACCACAGCTAACAGTAATGTCATGGTGTACAGACCACACCCTAGAGTTCCCTTCTACATCACGGCAGCAATGTGGGAAGTTGTGCCACTGGAAGCTAGCAACTAGCAAAAGATTTTCAACTTCCATTAAGTTGCTTTTTAATTCGATGAATATAAATGTATGTATGTATAAGAATTTGCAAGAATGTGAAAGTGCACATTTCATTTGTAAAGCCTGTTAGCTTGATCACCTACCATCATATTCAGACCTATTTAATGGACTAAATCCAAAATAACGTCCTGTTACGGGTTACCTTCAAAAATAGAAGTAGAGCTCACAGAATTAAGGGAGCTAGCACAGTAAGACACCAGGGATAATTACAGCACCATCACATGAAAGACCTAATTAAGCAGAGGATGGTAGTGAGGAGTTTTGGAGGGAGCTTGAGGCGACTGACAGATCTGTGAATCACTAAGTAAACGCTCTTTAGCACTCTTTAGGACTGTGGAAGTAGCCTACTTTGGTGTACAAGTCTCATTGCACTACTCAGTCAAAGTGGCTCAGTAGACTAAAGACTAAAGGGAGTAAAGTAGCCTCTTTTTAAACAAGCAAACTGAGTGAGAACACATTCATATCTGCAGCAGCAGCCTGAAAGAGCAGATAATCAGATAAAGATTTCATCCAAATACTGTTGACCACTTTGTTTTTTTATATTCTCATCTTTCACATTAGAGCTTAACCATATTAATCTTATTTCCCAAGTTCAAGCCTATATATTTTATCATGCTGACGGCACTGACCAACCTCCCTCATCACAGCATTCATCAGTTCCACGCAGTGCAGTGGTAGAATAAAGTCAACATGTTGTTCGGAATTATTCTTCAACAGTTTAAAGTCACTGATGCTGACTGACAAAGCGGGCTTCTTGCTGCGTGAACGTCTGGTTTGATGTGTGGTGTGCAGTTACTCTGACGTGACAAACGGACAATTTTTCTTCCTCTGTCCCGCTAGTGGCAGCCAAACCCAGTCATGCTCACAATCCCGTTCCCTGCAGCTCAGCAGGATTTTGGATGACATGGACCTTTCAGTTTCAAGACACTGCATCCATCAAAGCTGCCCAGCAAAGAGGCAGGACAGCCATGCCTAACATGCCTGGCCTGATCTATCATTGTGGCTAATGGTGCAGTATGGTAATTGGAACTCAAGAAAACATTTAAGTACACAGAGAAGGGGGGAAACAGGCATATTGAAGGGCTGAAATGTTAATGTCTTTTGTAAGAGAAATCTGACCTTAAAATTAGGTTTTTCTGTTTGGTATGAACAGCCACAAAACCCACATAGTCATGTAAAGTCTGCGACACAGGCCTTCGTAACAAAGTATGACTTTACAGGTATTTACTCATCAACAGTCAGTCAATGACTAAACAGATAGATTGAATACAGTATGCAACATTGCAACATTGCAACATTGCAAAACACAACACAAAATCTAATTTGTGAAAGACATTTCTTGCTAGCACAACTACCTATTGTATGCAGCACAGACTTCAATAACTACAGTACATTAGCTCTGAAACCCAAACCTTCTATGAAGATCAGTAAAAAAGGGGGGCGAGGGAAATGAGTAAGCGTCCCTTTGTGTTGGCTGTGTGTATGTTGCGTAATAGTGGAAGAACTGGAAGAAAATAACAAATCGAACAATGAAATATCAAATGACAAGATTTGAGATTAGAAAGCAAATAATGCAACACAAAGTCTCACCTCCCTGAAGAAGGAGCTGTATGTGTGCACATCTAAAAGGAATAGATACAGAATGTTTCCACTGATATGGTCCAAAATGGTCAATAAAGGCTTCTTCATCTCTTCATCTGTTTGTCTGCAGGGTGACTGGTGGCAGGTCACCAGTGCCAACCACATTAACCGCATTCATGCCTACATAAACAGAGCCTCTGCTCACCAGCTGACTTTGACCAGCTTCCAACCATTAGTGGTTTGCTAAACAAATTCATCTTTTTAAATACTGATAATCTGACTTTCTAGAAGTGCTACTGGCTCATAATTTTGAATTAAAAGTGACTTTATATATGTATAAATATAAGTGTTAGATGTAGGTTTTCTGGGAATACAAAACAGGGATTCTTGTATGTAATAATGAAGTGAATATCATACAATGAGCTTTGAGTTTTTACTTGTAGTAACACACCTACAGCTTCTTGAGTCAGTGTTAAAAAAAGCTGCTTCCTCTACTCTGACCCATGAAAGAAGAGACCACAGGAGGACAGACAATTGACAATAGTTTTTTTGACTCGTGACAGTTAGAGGGAAATGATCACAAGGACATGCTGTAAGCAGCATCAACAAAAACAAATGAATGAGGATGAGACCGAGGACAAGGAGAGTGGGAGACCGAGCAGAAATCATTCTGTCAACACTGAAATCGTCAGTCAAAAATATTTTTCTGCAGCTGCGTGATGCTACAGATTACTGAACTTATATTCATATCAGCAGCAGTCAGTCACCAGCAAATCAGTGTTGAGGTTGTTGTCCAGAAATTAATCATGAAAAAATGATGTCAAATGCATTTATTGGGGCCAACAGAGCAGCTTGAAAACAAACAGCTAACAGGCTGAGAGTAAATGAGACACAGGAACAGATGGTGAGAAAAGCCACAGTGCTGCAGAGTTAAATCAACATTAGACATCCCAGCTGAGAGATGTAAACAAACACATGTGCCTAACGCATACTTACATCAATCATATCAGAGACGTCATGGATGTAATATTTTGCCACAACTGCATTTGTTGCTGCCAGGTTCAACAAATAGTCATTCCGGGCTTTTGTGCATTTCAGCTTATTCTCTGAGTACTTGGCTTGCCTCTGGGGAGGAGAGAAGAGACAGAGCAGATGAGGGGAAAAACCATCAGTGCAGGAAAATCAAGCAGTAGGGAGGGTTTGAGTGTGTGCTTAGGCAGCCGCAGCTTTGGGACCATCAGACAGGTAGAGGTGGCAGGAAAAGTTTGGAGAAACAGGCTCTAGAGATGCTGCCTCTAGATAGTAATGAGTTAAGTGGCACAGCCAGGCTCGCATTTAGTTATTATTCTAGTCTCTCAATACTAAAGCACTAGGGGCTGCAGAATGTGGATGCTGAGCACTTGCAGGAAGTTAGATGAGAACAGTGATACCACTCTCACGTCTGTAAATATGAAGCTGGAGCTAGCAGCCTGGCGCGCTTAGCTTAACTTAGCATAAACACTGGAAACAGGGGGAAACAGCTAGCCAGGGTCTGTCCAGGTAAAAAAAAATCCACCTACCAGCGCCTCCAAGGCTCACTAATTGACACATTTGTTTAATCTGTACAAACAGTGAAGTGTAAGAACAAGTGGGCAGATTTTGTTACCTTTGGAGCAAAAGAGCAAGGCTAGTTGTTTCCCCATTTCCAGTCTTTATGCTAAGCTTAGCTACTGCCAGCTGCTGGCTTCAGCTCCATAAAGATGTGAAAGTGGTATATTCTCTCATCTAACTCTCAGCAAGAAAGCAAATGAGTGTATTTCTCAAAATGTCAAAGTATTCCTTTAAAATACAGTCCCATCAATATCTATCTATTTATTCAAAAGTACTAACACAGACGGCATATTGGAGGTTTTAGTGTCTTTGTGATCAATCATTTTAACTTATGTTTGGCTATCTGTGGGCCTGTATCTCCACTGAAAAATGCATGCAACTGTATTTAGTACTAAAGAATATAAACAAAATAACAGCATTTCCCATTTAGTGACATTTGTACTGACACAACACAATGATTTTGCAAACCCGTACTTAACAGTACTGACAAAGGTGTTATAATTCTAAGCAGACATTTCACTCATTATTTCACTTCCAATTTCACAAAGCCATCATAATGCAAATTTGAGCAGCGGGTTAGAGAAAAAGAGATTTTAAAGAGAGCTTTTATTTCTGTCTCTTCCTTCTCTGACCTGTTTGCAGGCAGAGTAATGTGACAAAAGTTTAAAAGCAAGACGTAGGGAAAATTCATCGCTGTGTTATAACTAGTGCTCAGTTCCCAAGCCAAGCAGCATCTCTGAGGATATCAGCCTGAGGAAAGAGAAACGCTGTCATCCTGACAGCCTTTTGATTTCTGGTACCTGAGAGATAATGGGAGTTTCATTTGCATGGAGAAATTCCAAAAGAAGATCCCAAATAAAAAATGCATGGGTGCATCTAAAGTATAGTCTGCTCCAGAGACCACCAGCCCTACACTGCTGGCAGAGAAGAACTTTACACAAACCTGAAATCTGCATAAGATGGAAAGAGAGTTGGGGTTTTGGCTGGGAGTAGTGCTGTTTGCTCACTCCGTATCTGGCTGCAGACTTGCATTCTGCTCCTGAGAGTTTCTGACATTATATTCCTATCTCTCTGTTGCTCTATACTTCTCTCACTCTCTCCAAGTAAACCCAACAAACAGAGCCAGTTCTCCATTTACAGAACTCGATTCATCTGACCTCCTCATTCGGCAATGAGGAGAAGCTGTTTACCCTGCAATAACTGCTTTTTTGGTCACATGCCGTGAACATATTATCATATGTTGTTAGAATACTTCACACATCCAGCAGACATGGAGCAACAGCTTTTATTTGAAATCCAATTTATGACCACCAGGCGAATGGAAGTCCAAAGTTCACTCTCTTTTTCCTCTGTTCTGGGTCTCCATTTACTGATGAGGGAATATCTGACTATAGCTGTTAAATGCTACTATGTTCACCAGCTAGTCGCTATCTTTGTTCATTTGTGATTTGGTGCTGAGTGGGTAGTGTACAGTGGGTTTATAAAAACAGCTGCATGCTGTGACCAAAAATGGAAGTATGAGAGTGGTGAGAGTGAAACAAAACAATCAAGTTGCAGGCCCAAAGACCAAAACAATTAGCTAAAGATGCTAAAAAAAACAAGTTTAAGTGATAATTCTCTGTGGGTTTTTCACATTGAACATAGTAATTTAATGCATTGTTATTCTAAAAAATACTGACTACGGCAGCTTTAAATATACTATCCATCCTTGGGCATACTCACCTTCTCTTTCATCTTCTCAATTTTCCTGACAAAGCTACGTCTTGGTTGGCGGTCCTCATGGCGCAGCAGGTTAACGTTGAGATCTCCGGACTTGCTGAACTGCTTCTCCTCCTGCTTCTCAGCATCCTTCAGCTTGCTCTCTGCGCTGATGCTCTCAGTGTGGTACATGTGGTATGTTTTCATCACCTGCAGGAGGAGAATCACAGATATTCAAAAGATTAAAAGGAGCCTATCAAGATCACATTTTACAGTGTAGGCCATCATAGTCTGACAAGATTAAAAGATGCTTCACAGATGCTGTAAAACTATGTTTGAAAATGAGACAAATTAGAAGACACAATAGTTTCGACAACGTTACATTCAGTAGCCCACGGACTGAGAAAAGAAAATGCATGGATATTAGTATGTCACACTGAAATGGACTGGGAGGTTTCATATCAATGCTGTATATACAATTAGAGCTACAATGATAAGTTGATCAATCATTTCTGTTATTTGCTCTTCTTTTTTAGAAAATTTAATATATTTGGATTTTGGACTGTTGGCCAGACAAAACAAGCAAATTGACAACATCACCATGGGCTTTGAGAAAATTGTGAATGGGATTTTTCTCCGCTGTTCTTTTAAAAACATTTTATAGACTGTTAAATGATGAATTGGTGAATCGAGAGAAAATAACATTCAGATTAATCAATAATCAAATAATTGTTGTTGTCTATAAAATAATAAAGTACTGAATGCATAGACACATGCTTTCTGCAGTCATACAATAAAAAGGCCTCATAAGTATTTTCATTAAGAGTCAATATGTACCAGTGGCCACTGCTGGGAATAGTAAAAGGACATGTAAACAAGCCCTGATTCAGTTCAGTCTACTCAGAGAAACTTTAAAAGAGGCAGTTTGGATCAACTCATGAAGGGACCATTTTAATTTTCTTTGTTTTGCACTTTTGTGCTCTATACCCATTCACACAACCACTCATACCTGTACAGTGTCTTACAGTAGCATTACTGTTGTGCTTTTACTGCCATATTCCCCCTCAGATGTAATAATAATAATAATAATCTTTATTTGTAGAGCAATTTTCAAAAACAAGTTACAAAGTGCTTTAACAAGTGTAAAGACAATAATACCCAAAAGACAATAATACAAAAACAATACAAGATAGAAGCAAGAAAACACTGAAAAGACTAAAATACAAGTTTAAGATAAATATAAAATTAGTAAAATAGAATAAAATAAAAGGGATAAATTAAAGTCAAATAAGATCGGGAAAGGCTCTCCTATAAAAGTATGTTTTAAGAAGGGACTTAAAAGAGTTCACTGACTCAGCTGACCTGATTTCCTCGGGCAGGCTGTTCCAGAGCCTCGGGGCCCTGACAGCAAACGCTCTGTCCCCTTTAGTTTTCAGTCGAGACTCTGGTACAGACCTCTGCCCGAGGATCTCAAGGTACGTGCTGGTGTGTATGGGACTAAAAGTTCAGAAATATAACAAGACGAGAGGCCATGAAGAGCTTTAAAAGTGATCAATAAAATTTTAAAGTCAATTCTAAAACACACTGGGAGCCAGTGTAATGAAGCTAAAATAGGAGTAATGTGGTCATATTTCTTTGTTCTGGTTAAAAGCCTTGCAGCTGAGTTCTGGACAGTCTGGAGTCGATCAATAGATTTTTGGGTTAAACAGGTGAAAAGGCTGTTGCAATAATCCAGGCGCGATGAGATGAAGGCGTGTAAAATTGTCCCGGTGTCCTTAAAAATTAACATAGATTGAATTTTTGCTATATTTCTAAGTTGATAAAAACATGATTGAACAAGTTTTGTGGTGTACTGCTCGAAATTTTTTATTACTATCAAACCAAACACCAAGGTTCTTTGCCACAGGCTTAATGTGATGTACTAGGGAACCAGCAGATGGCAGTATTTGTTTTGCCATCTGCTGGGACCCAATGACCAGGATTTCTGTTTTGTCTGAGTTCAGCTGGAGGAAATTATTTGACATCCATTTTTTAACTTCACAAAGGCAGTTGTTAAGTGAACTCAGCATTCCAGGGTCTGTGGATCTGACGGGCAAGTATATTTGTGTGTCATCAGCATAAATATGAAAAGAAATGCCATGTTTATGGATAATATGTCCAAGTGGAAGCAGACCGAAGGAAAACAAAATGGGTCCTAAGACCGACCCCTGAGGCACATCATATTTAACTGGACAGAACGAAGAGACATAGTTGTTTACAGACACGCAAAACTTCCTATTTCACAGGTAGGATGAAAACCATTCTAGGGCAGTACCAGAGATCCCCACCCAGTGCCTCAGTCTGTCTAACATGATGTTGTGATCAATGGTGTCAAAAGCAGCGCTAAGGTCCATGAGTAGCAGGACTGAGCACATGCCTTCATCAGCAGACATAAAAAGGTCATTTGTGACTTTAAGCAGGGCAGTCTGGGCAGGGCAGGTGCTGTGGTACTTCCTGAAACCAGATTGAAACTATTCAAATATTTTGTTATTTTCCAGTACAGTGAGCAGCTGTTTGAACACAATTATTTCTAGAATCTTTGCAATAAAAGGCAGTTTTGAAATTGGTCTAAAATTATGTGGGAGGGAGGGATCTAAACCAGGTTTCTTTAAAAGTGGGTTCACACAAGCCGTTTTAAAATAATCAGGGACACAACCAGTACATAGGGAACTGTTGAACAGAGATCAAATGGGGCCCAACAGAATCTATTACTTTCAGTAAAAACTTTGTAGGTATTACATCAAGTGGGCTGGAGGACACTCTCATTTATGATACTGTTTTTAAAAGCTCAGACAAGTCGATGGGATAAAACTGGTTAAAACTCTCTTGTTGCTGGTGAGGGACCTCTGAGTAAGAGTCCGTGGGGGTAATAGAGGCTCTGATTGACACCACCTTATTGGTAAAATAAGATAAAAACAATTCACAGTCATCATTACTTCCAGCTGAGGCACAAGGAGGGGTTGGGTTTACCAGCTGATCCACAGTCTTAAACAGAAACCTGGGATTGTGTTTATGTATAGTAATGAGTTCAGAAAAATAGTGTGTTCTCACATCCTTAACCATGTTATTGTAGTTAATTAATAAATCCTTCAGACTGAGGTAATGGACTTGAAGACTGGATTTTTTCCATCTGCGCTCTGCTTTCCTGCATTCTCTTTTTAGGCTGCGAATGCTGTCATTTATCCAGGGTTGCTTACTAGCTTTAGACGTCGGCCTAACCTTTAGAGGAGCAGCAATATTTAGTTACGACAAGCAGATATGATTGAAGTGATCGACCAGATTGTTGGTGTTGGAATCAGACAGGTGTTGGCTTTGGCTCTGAAAGAATGCGCAAAACTTTGAAACACTTTGTTCATTAAAGATGCGAGAACACACGGAGCTTGGTGAGGCGGCATGAGTAACAGGCGAATCGCAGCTAAAAACAATACATCTATGGGATGTCCCATAGTGTTAATATTGTCTTTTTAACTCCTAAACTCATAGATTACTTTCATTAGTTCTCCTCTGCTGTATGAGTCAAGTCCTCCCACAATCAAACCTCCATTCTCATTGTTTAGCCATTGTTTATTTCTCTGATGTATTTAACCACCTTTTTATATCACCTTAGTTAGTTAATTAATTCACTGTAACCAAGGAATTGTGTGTATTGCCTACTTCTAAGTCTACTACTAAGTCCCTGCCAAGAGAATTTACCCTTTAGATATGAGACTGACTGATTGATTTAAGATAATTAACTAACTTATCACTGGTGAATAATTGTATAATTATTAAAAGCTACCTAGAGGTCTGGAGACTTTAGGTTAATAACAACTCCGGAAACGAGAACAAGAGCTTTTTTATGGATTAATATTTTCTGAATATTAAAATTCATACGTAGTTTAGACATGCTACAGAGATCTCACATTGAAGAGAACCATTTTAAATGAGTTTGTTCTGGGTGCTGGAGTTGGTGCAGTTGTCCTAATCCTTAAGAGATTACTATTATTTCTGTGTGGGATGTGCACATTTCGGTTTACTGGTCTATGCGTGATGATGACAGGAATAGGAGTCTTTGGAACAGCGCTGGGAGCAGACGGCTTTACATGCCAGCAGGTGGAGACAGTTGTTAGTGCCAGTGAGGTAGAGATCTGTTCAGTGACCGGTGGTGTGTCCAGGTGTACTGCATGAACGATTAGTCATTCAAGTCATGTGTGGACCGCACCACATGCTGTATGTGAGCAGCTAACATTTCTGAGCCCCGTTTGTTTGGGTGAAGTCCGTCTGTCTTAAAAAGAGACATTCTTTGCCTGAAAATATTAAAATTATGTTACCAACAATAAGGAGACAAACAGGAAAGAGCACATTTTTCAAGCTCCTCAGTGTGATTTCGCTCGAAAATTTTTTGATTTGATTCGAACTTTTTCATGGTGGCCTGGTGGATCAATTGGCGTCAGTACAGCAGTAACACAGATGTCACTACATGTGGAATATTTTAAGTGAATCCAGGGGCCCGGGGTTGTGTGTGGTTTAGTCTTGGCTGTCAAATATTCAGCCCCCTATCCCGTCCTCACTGTGGCTTTCCAGGCCTCTATATCATTTCTACCGTAACTCTTCATCACCACCACGGGCTTACTCATTTTTAGCTCTTTTGTGCAGCATTAACACAGCATTGTTTTCTGTTCTCTGCAGTTACCTCTTCACTTTGATCTCTACTTAGACACTCAGACATCCCACAACCCACTCTAACATGGTGATGACAACACTGTAGTGACAGAAAACCCTTGTTAGACAAGACAGAAGCATCCTGAGTGTTTCTTAACTCGTCCCAGACGCTCATTGAGAGAGCCTCCTCTTGGAAGCCCATTTTTTAACCCTTGTAAAGGACAGTCCACATGTGAGCTGCATCTTCAAATGTCCTGAGCATTTTCTATGAACACCTCAGGATGTAAGACAGTCATCATAAACAGTCATTTATTTGTTTCCTGAGACCAAGTACGTAGTACTTGCTTGGTGCTGAACTTGAGCAGTAGGGTTCCTTTTATCTCTCCGTGAGCTGCTCATCAAAATCACATGTTTGCCGTTGGGTCACTCACAACTATAATCTTCCATTGACCGCCAACCCTGTGATAGTAATATTTACCAGTTCTGCCACTTGAAGAGTCCCTATTTATTCCCCTGTGTTGGAATAATTACGACTCCTCTCCAAGCAGTGCAGGAACTCTTAGAACAACTACAACCACAGACTCACAAAGAGCTGTAAGGCAAACACCTGAAAGTAAAATAAATAGAATAAAAGCCGCTAGTCTATTCTCAGAATGACAAAACTCTACAACAACGTAGCTACCCCACGAAGAGAGACACTAGGCTAACATTCTGTTGCTCTCCAGGGTGTCGAACTATTTCCTTCGAATTCTTCTAAAAACGTGCTAGATTTCCAGCCAACTTAGAACCATCTGACTACAAGGACCTGCAGCTAAAGACACAAAGTAATTTGCAGGAAGACTGAGCCTCAGCTGTGTCCACAGGAGGTGTGTGTATAGTTGAGTCCTCTGATGACAGCCTAGGGCTGTTTAACTCCTGAACAGAGTCTCTGAGCTGGTGAAAGAAACCCAACAGTGAGAAAATGGCTGTAGTTTTTAATGATGAATGCAAGGCCAGAAGTAGATAATTTCATTTAACATGGCTCTAAATAGTCAAGGGATTTAAACCCATGACTTATCACAACGTCGAGGGTTCGACTACAGCTGGAGTCCTTTGCTGCACTTCATCCCCTCTTTATCTCCCCTTAAAATATTCCACTCTCTTACCACAAAATATTACAGAAAAACATAAGTGGGGCAAAAGTCTAACCAAAACATTAAGTTTACTGTTTGCAGAAAAAGCCCAACGAGATGCTACAACTTATGTTCAAGAGGGTCCCGATAAAACATTATAATCACAACATAATCTATATACATGGTAGGTGAAGCACGGGAGAACACACAAGGGAACAAAACACTCTTGAGAAAATATGATGCCAGAAAGAATAAAGCAAATCTTTATTATGTTGATGTACAACAGTAGAAAAAATATTGAAATTAACATTAGCGCATTAGAACTTGATTAGATATTAAAACATTTTTTTAAGACCAAATCATATTTTCCCCCAAAATGTAACAGCTATGATATTTTGATGTAGCGTTTTCAGCGCTGACATGCTGTGAGTAAATAAATGATGTTGAGAAATGGATGAATGACTACAGATGGATAAATGAATGAAAGCTACACCAGCAGCCGGGCCTGAGAGAGAGATTTTCAGTGTTGTTGTTAACAAAAGAATAACCGTGTATGAGGCTGAAGATTAGACATCAGACATAAGGTTGGTGGATCGAAAAGATAAGCTTTATCGATCCTCAGTGGGGATATTAAGCCAGTGTTGCAGGAAATTAAAACAGGTCCAAGTAAAAGAAACTAACTTTCACAGAGATATGTTGTAGAAAGCAACGTCAGGAATTGATTGCTCCTTTTTCTTATTTCAGGTTTGGTATTAATGACAAGCCACAGGCAGCAGGATCGTCACTCTCACTAATACTCCTGCTGCAGCGTCATACTTTAAACAATATTTGAACAATAGCTTCAGCTCTGTTTTACATCTCTCCCTTACCTCTCACTAAGCAGCCAAGGATCCAAATGGGATTTAACAGTTTTCTTTCAGCAAAAAATTGCTTTGTTGGCAGCCTGTGAAAACTGTTGGAACTCACCACAAGGCAATCACCATGTGGCCACGCTATTGATTTAGCTATTTCTGTACAATCAAATACTAACAAGTGTGCAGCCATGAAAAACTTTTTCGTTCCTCCAACAGACAGTGTTACTCCTGGTGGAAGGTCAAGGAGAGGTGTGTTCAGATGAGTCATTAATGAAATATTTCAGACTCCTATGCCTCCCATTATAACAATAAATAAAAATATCTGTCAACCCTAGACCCTTCACTGAGATTTATGAACAAAAAAGCAATTAAAGAAACCATGTGATGAGATAACAAAACAGGGGATCCCCTTTAAGTATAGTCACAATGTCATGAATAGTTAGAGGAGAAAACAATTATTAAGTGTAAAAATGCATTGATTGACATTAAATAAATTTTATAGGACGTGGCATTTTTCCTCCTTAGCTGTGAAGTTTCACAGAACCCTCTTCTTAAGAAAGAACGAGGCTGTACGTCAACATTTGGATCTTTAATTTTCAGCCAGACTGCAGCTGAGGCCAAGTAGAGCATGAGAAGAGGGACCATCTGAGTTTTATTATGCAGCAAAAAAGAGTTGAAGAATGATCTGTTTCGGTGTGTTTCTGGACTCCACAATGAACCTGTAATACACCCTGACACTGAAAACCAAACAGGAAATGGCTGGCAGGCATGACCTTTTGAAGAAAGACAATGATTGCATTTTCATTATTAACCACTAAGTAGCAACGTATAGAAGCATCAGTCTTTAAATACATTTCATCAATAGCACAGTTCTTGTAAAATGCTTATGCATGTAATTAACATGCATTTTTGATTATCACATGGTGCCCATAACATTAGCCTGTTTCAGCGTCCAAATGTACAGATGGTGGGATCAGGGAGAATTGCCAGCACTGCCCTTTGGTAGTTTGACTCTCATCATATTGCAGAGATGAATAAGTCATACAAGGCAGCTCTGCCATCTCTTCTGTTTCACCTCAGGGGGCAAAAGACTGCTGAAGTTGCCTGGAGCTCGTCCAGTTTCGGGCACTAAGCCTCCCTGAATAAGAACCCATCTCTGTAACAGTGCAGCACCAGTAGAGATTGTCCTTATCCCTGACATACGCTCATCTGTCAGCAGGGTTTCCAGCAGGAAATCCTATTATTAACAATTCACTTCAGGTCTGACCAATTTTTGTACAGTAACTACAACAATTTATCGTCATGTTTGCAGGATTGTTGCTTATGTTATCTGCCAGTGTTATAACAACAGTCTAATATACTGACAGCCCATTTAAAACAAACAACGTGGGCTGTTCCTTCATTTATACCGCACATACTAATTATGTTCTACTGATTTTTCACTGTAAAAGCTCAGTTGGAGGTTTAATCCAAATAGAATTCATAAACACAATGAAACATTAATTATGTGCGATGGTTTTGGGCTAAAACCAAACATCTTGGCTATAAAATATGACAGGAAACATCTATCTATACAGCCATTCAGCACCATTTTATGTTAAAACATATGGGAAGCAGCTGCAGGATGCCCAAGAGCGGTTTGCCCCCCCAAAAAAAAACAAGAAAGAAAAGAAAAGGCTTTTGAGCTGAGAGACAAAAATTATCTTTGTAGAGGAGTGAATGATAGACTACCTTTTGCTTTACTGACAAATCACGATGAAGCAGAATGTAATCTGCAATCTTCTTATTTTTATCCTCCAAAGCTTCACTTCTCTAACGATTTCACAATCATGTGTTAAGACAGGCAGGTATTTCACCGTCCTCCACTGAGAGAAGAAGTGAGTTGACCCCCGAACAGGACCAGTGCTGAAAGAGCCACCAGATGTGAAAGCTATTTGAGCCCAGAAACTGTCTGACTTGAAGAGAAAGTGAGTAGTACTTGGAGAGTAGTGTTCCATTTCATTATTTACATCTGCCTCGCTCTTTCTCTCGCTTATCATCTATCTACCTATTTATATAAATTAGAGAGTAATTAATGGAAACACCTTTCAGTATAATGCAATACAATTCAATGGTTGGATTAACACCTCTTTCATAATAGTAGGATTTATTGCAGGACTGTTGCATGAGACTGTGTTCGCTAGCTGTACCTACTAAACTGGAAAACCTCCACTTTTCAACACAGCCAGTGGGACTTTTACTTGCTTTACTTGTACACTTGAGCAATTCATTTTTCAACCGGAAAGACACTTTCATTTCAAAACTAGAACAACTTCCCATTAGTCCCTCAGCAGCCTAAAAAGAAAGTATTAGGAAAGGAAAGCCCACATATTTCAGAATGTACAAAGAAGAAAGAAAGGTAATAAAAGAGAACAAAAAAAGAGAAAACATGAAATAATATGCCAGAGAGAGCTCAGTGATGAGATAGGGTGTGAGGGACCGATCTCTAGTGTATTACTTACAGTGTAGAGTTCATTTGTCACCTTCACCAGCTCCTCATGCATCTGGATCCCAATGTCCTTGCTCTGAAACACAGCAAGCAGGAAGAACAGGGGTCAGTCGGGCTGACACCAGATACAGATAATCAAGGACAGTAGAAGATGAATCCTTTGGTGAATTCCCAACTTTCATCTAGCACCACTGTCAGGTCAGAATTTCCACTTGTCCAACTCTTAAATCCATGAAAAGAGACCTCTGAAATGAAAGACTGACACTTTAATGCTCACCAGAGGATACTTGTGTTATCCATCCAACAATTATGTTATGTGTATAACAGCCTCACATGATACTTTTAATAGAAGACTTGTAACACAGAGCAGAGTGGGGGAAGATATCCTGACTGAGAATGTTGTCATATTTGTTTTTATTTGCCATGACTGTTCTATTGGGTCATATTAATTGAATTCTAATTTTAAAATACAATTTTATTATTATTTTAAACTACAAACAAAACACAGTCATTTCTCTACTTCCTCATCTCGCCCGCTATTCCTACCAGACAAACATGAAACAGACTGCATGAGTAAAATAAAGGAAATAAGAATGGCACTGCTTTCAAAAATGAACTACAACTGAGGCTCACAAATTCATTGCACAAGGTACAAGCAATTGCAGTGTTGTGGGCTTTGGATTTCTTAGTGTAGTTAAGTTTACATGATCACAATAACTCACTGTACCTGTCTTCTTGTTGTTGAACATCAATGACATATAACTGTGAGCAATGCACCATGCACATTTAGTTTCCTGTGATTATTGCACCTTATGTGGCACTCATATTTACACTTCTGAAAAGTCTATTATCTGTGTGGGTTCATATGTGAAGTGTGTCAAGGGGTGAAAACGTGTGTGACATCCTCTGGCAAAGTAAAACACAGTCTTCTGATGTTTCATTGTGCTCTACGGACACAATTAAATATCATTTATGAGGAACAATAAGTCCTATATCCAGCTCCTTCTGTCATTTTAATAGTGAAAAGACTGCTTAAGGCATTTCTCTCTGCCACCATTTTAATTTGTTTTGTTTGGAATCTTACTGAAGAGATGCAGCGAGTGCCTCACAAGCCACACAGTTAATTTTTCTCACAGATTTCAAAACACATGCACATTCATTTTTTCACAGTCATCTCACCACTCAGCACGCATTGTGATAAGAAACACACCTGGACTGGGAAAAGAGAAATAACTGACAGAGTGATTGCAATGACGTCTGTTTGTGTGGAAGAGAGGCATAGAGCCTTTATTTGAAGACTTTGAGGTGAGAAGATGCACCAACTGTGCCATCATATCTCAGTAGTGTGATGGTCTGACACGTAAAAAAAATAAAAGAAGCAACACTTCTTAATTTCACAGAGTTATACGGAGTTTTTATCTTTGAGGACAGGCAATACAAAAACCATCAATACCATCAGAGACAGAAAACTCTATAATCCCTGTGCTAATCAGACCAGTTTTTAAAACTCCCAGTTATTATTTACATCCTAACTTTGGGGTCTCTGGTTTGGTTTGTTGTGGTAGATTTGATTTAGTGGATTTTCAGTGTAAAAACGTAATTCCTAAGCTTAATTCCTAATCAAATATTCCCACTGCGGGAGCCATAAAAGAACAGATTAATTGATGAGTTTCGGGATAGGTGCATCAGGTCTCATCGGGTTAATCAGCACATAGTTGAAGGTGACTGAAAACAGTTTGTGACTGCTAAGGCAGCTTGTTTTTATATACAGTCTATGGTTGCAGCAGTTGTTATTCATGATTGTGTATGTTCCTGTTTATTTGTTTACTATTGGGAATATTTTTGAGTTTAACAGACAGTAAGAAGTTCAACAGGAGAAATAAATGAACTGAGTGTTAAACTAGAACGTTTGTCTGGACTATGTTTCTTTGAAGGCGACCTAAAAGCTGACTTAAAGGAAATAAAAATTAGCCTACTAACACATCAAAACAAACCTGCCAGTCATACTTGTATGTACAGGTGATGGGCGGGAAGGAGAAACTATTAAAAGCGAACAGGTCAATAAAATGAAGACCATGTTCATGAGTTAAACAATGACACTTGTCAGTGGGAAATTGACAACTGACAATTGTCTGACAACTGACAATTAGATGCATGCAGCTAATTATGTTAGACAGGTGGGCTGGTGGTGTGCAGCTAACAATATCTGATGTCTCGCATGCTAAATACTACAGACTGTGAGATGCTTTTAAATATGGAAATAGCTATTTAAAATAGCAGAAACAGTTCTGTAAACCCCCTGTGCTCACCACCTTTGTGTCAGTGGCTGACTCAACAAAGTGACTCAGCAAGATGCATCATGGCCAATACACATATGAATCATAATGAGAAGTATCATTTTCTGATCAATATCAGTGTGACAAAGAGGAGCTGTGCTGAAAGAACACCTACCGTTTGTGAACAAAGACGGGCAATTCATTCATGCACACACGCACTCACACACACATCCAAACTGAAACCACACCTACCTACTCTTCCGAGGGATTCATACACAGATGAGAGTTACCATTTTTGTCCACACCCTGCTTAGCTATAATAACTGTGCTTGAAAAAAACTTGCTACTGGTGAGTCAGAAACTTAAATAATAATAAAAGAGAGAGAAAAGAAATCTTGCTCCAACACTAAACTAGATTGTAAAATGTACACAGACAAGATAAGACAAAGTAACCTTAGTAATACAGGAGGGCTTTGTTGTTTTTACTTTGTTTTTATCTGGAGTGCAGGCATTAAGTCCTACTCATGCAAGCATCGGACTGAATGTGATAAGTGGGGGAAATCCTTGGAGGGCTCCAGCAGCTGGTGAATGGCATCGGTATGCATCAGCTGCTCTGAAGTGAGACAGAGACTGCCGCATGTACTGCAGAGGCACGAGGGGAGCAGGGAGGGTTCAACCAGCGAGTGAACGACTGTGATGCAACACAATGTAAGAGCTGTGGAAGGTCATATTGTAGCAGACCTTATAGAAACGCCTGTGAATATTCTTAAAGTCTTTCCTCTATATAAGGCAAAAAGTACCATAGTTGCACGTAATTCAATTTATTAATTTATTCTCTTTGCAATTAATTCATACTGGGAGTCATGGAGCGCCAAGCAGACAGCAGGGAAACCTGCCTTCTGTACATTCACATATGTCACTCCTACTGCAACTGCATTTTAGGGAATATTCAGTCTTTGGAAAATACTCTGGCTTAGAACTGCTCTAAATTTAGGTTCAACCCAAAAACAAACAGCTGCACAGACTATCAAACCACCATATATCATAACTTACTGAACACAACGTGAACACACATGTAAATGAGATAAAATATATCATTAACATTCCCACTATAAGCCACCGTTTTGGTAGATGTTTATATGTTAAACAAGCCCTTGATCAAGTTTTTGTCAACAGCTGTACTTTTTGTCCTTGATCACCTTTTCATGTACAACAGTCATCCAGTGGTCTTTAATTTATTTCAGTTTAACGTTTTCAATTTTCTCCAGGGCTCTGTGACATTTTTGATACATTATTTATTGTCTCCCAATACATCTGCCAGCAAGCTGCGGCTGAGTCATCCATTCATAGTTTCAAATATAGAGAAAGCTACCTGAGGGCACCTGACTTAAAAAGGATGGAGTGTTTCTTCCTTTTCAGCTCTGGCACTGCTTCACAGGCATCCACGAAAGCACACACACACACACACACACACACAGTAATATGTGAATGGAGACAGTGGAGCTCACGTACAGGAAGGCATGCAAGGTGCAAACAGGGTTCTGATGTTTGGAGACCTCAGTCATCTCTGCTATGTGCTGACCGTGAGCCAAATGTTTCTCACAGGGTGTTGGGCCAGGGGGTCTCAGCTTCACTTTTCCCAATACTATATGGACAGCTCTGCAGGCTAGACAGAACTCATACACCTTCTATTAACTCTGGAACTCTGGAGACTGGAACAATCTACCAATTTTCTTGACATCTTTGAAGTATCTAGGTTCATTTAAGAATGCTCTTATCATTCACCTTACAACTCCTGTTAATTATTGTTACTTATTGTTATACTCGACTGTTTTTACTATTAGTGTTGGTGTCTAGAGTTTGTGACATGTGCAAGGTAAATGAGTGAATATGTTTTTATTGTAGTTATTTTTATTGTTGTTTTTTTGTTTGTTTGTTTGTTTTTTTGTATTCTTGTGTTTGATGTTTGCTGTATATATTGTGTAATTTTATATTATTGTGTGTCTTTTGTCAGGACCCCCTCGAAAACGAGATGGTACATCTCAAGGGGTTTTTTAACCTGGAAATAGATAAATTTCTCAAAACTCCTTGTGGGCTCAGACAGTGCTCAAAGCATCACGTTTCTAGGGGCTACCGTCAGTGGGCAAAAGGTAGAGAAGCAGCTTTATTTGAGCCGATGCTGCTTGTCCCTTTCAGTTTTAACCAAGGCAAAGCAAAATTGCTTGGTATTTGTATTTTCCTTCTCTGACATTTTATGCACTAGTGATGAGAGGGTAGTAGTAAACAAAGAGGGAAGGCTGATAGCCTCACTGACCTTCTTGAACAGGCGGATGACGTCCTCACTGATCTGGGCCAAGCGGACGATGACATTGTTGGTGTAGATGTCGCTGAGTGTGGCATGGTCGCGGCTCTCTCGCCTTGTCTGGTTCAGCAGCAGGTACCAGCAGTTTACTGAGGACAGCAGGTGCTGGTCTTTCCTGAACAGTAAACATGAGAAATACATGACTGTGAGAATGCCAAATCTGGATAATATGGACAGGTGGTAATACATTTTTCCATTTTTCCAGTCATTCGGTCATTCACATAAAAGAAAATCAGTTTTATGTAGAACAAAACAGAGCTAAGAGTATATATATATATATATGTGTGTGTGTGTGTGTGCTCGTGTGTGTATGCTTAATGCTAGCTTGTTTAGCAGGTAGCTAGCTTGTTTAGCAGGTAAAATGTGCATGTTTATATTAGCATTATGTTGTTTTTTTGGCAAGCTGTGGAGACATTTCACAAAAAAACCCAAATGTCAGCCTCATGGTGGTGCTAGAGGAAAGGTCATGATGATTCATCCTCTGGGGACCACCTAAGTAATAATTGTTGAGATGTTTCAATCTGGACCACAATGGTGGACTGACAGACAGACAATGAGCCTTTCTAAAAATATACTTAGTTAGTTCTTTTCCAATAACTAGATAGTTATTTGTAGAATTACAACGATACTACACAGTTAAGTCCAAAACATGGCCAAACAAGTAATAATACTGTTTGGCTAAAGAGGAAAGCATTTGAAGTTATTATTAAAGTAAACATTATACCTACAGTCATGATCTGCTAAAAGACAACTGTTGTGGCATAAAATACCACAAAGTTTCCTTCTTTCTTTTCTTTCTCAATTTCCGCCTCAGTGAATGTCTTCCTCCCTCACTCCATCACTGCTTTTCTGTTTTCCACCACACTCCAAACAGTGCTACGGTCTAGTAAAGGCAACAACTTGTTAAATGTATAATGCTTGTGACCATAATGACCAGAGAGTCATGGGCCCTGATTGCTGCATAATCAGTTTAAACTATCTCCGCCTCGGGTGCTTTCAAACAGACAGACCAAGGCACATAGACATCGTACCAGGCACACACACACATACACAATCTCTTTAAACCCATACCCATGTCTGGATCCTATCTGAGCATTAATCAATCAACCAGCCCCAAGAAGGAGGCACAGAGAGAGACAGAGAGAGAGGAAATTGAGAGCAAAGGAGGGAGAGAGCAAGAGCAGGGTGGGAGATATGGTTTCACTGTGGAGCAGAAAAAAGGCAATGAGCAGCACCAACATCAAAGAGCCCCCCTTCAGAGAGCTTCTATAATGCTAATCACATCTAATGAAGCTGATATCTAGCTACTCCAGAGTGCTTTCCCCATTATTCCTTTACTTAACTCTGGCTCTGAACGTACTTGTGTCATGCTGACACCAGCACATTGTACTCATAACATCAGTGAGGGGCAGAAAACAGGATGGCATGTGTTCATCTGGCATGTGAACTTCATCTATTCGTTTATTTATTACTGGGCCTGCATCTTCAATGACTGAGAACGGTGTCCCGACATGCGCTTTGTCTAAAAGGGGAGTCAATTAATATGCATTTACAGAAATGTAATGGTTATTTGAAAGAGCTGAGAATATCCAGCATCAAAATGAGATGAACCCAACTATGCAAAGGATGGGTAGGATTTAGGTTTTACTAACAATAAAGGACCCTATTGTAGACTAAATTCTCCTTCACTCCTTTGGGATGGCCTATTTCTACTGTCTCTAGATCGCTCATTTTGTACCAGTTCTGCTTGACTGACCTATCTGCCTTTTAGGGATGCAGCTCCTCTGTGTATAATTGCTGTATGTGGTTGAGAGGTTTAGGGAACTAGCACCTCTACTCTCTGCTAATCCCTAAAAGTGGTCAGAGATGCTTCATCACATCCCTGAGCACAACCAGACTCCCATTTTAGATGTTTTTTTTTATCCTCCTCAGCTTTCGCTGTTCTCTGTGGACTAGAGCTAAATCTGCTGCTTAAGTGACTTTTTCCTTTTACATTATAAAGGTGTTGCACTTGACTGGAGTACCAGGTTATTTACTTTTCGGGCCACACTCATAATGTCAGAAAGTAACCTACAAGTTTGAAATGTATAGGCCTCAACGGTGTTTGATCAGCAGGAATTACACATAAAAAACATGTGTTTATATTGCACCAAACAGAACTAAAAGTCTCTAGCAATGCTAGCACTTCTGTTAGGCACAGCAATGCTTTGAGCGAAATACTAAATCAGCATGCTAACATGCTCACAATAACAATGCTAATATGCTGATGTTTAGCAGGTATAATGTTTATCATGTTCACCATCTTAGTTTAACGAGTTAGCACGCTAAAATTTGCTTTTAGTTTTCTGCAGATAATTCACTGGATAAATGAAAAATTTTGACCTCCTGGTGGCTCTACTGCATGGCAATCCATTCAATAATTGTTGAGATATTTCAACTACAGAATAAATTGTTGTTCGGAGGTATCACTACCTATTCATGCATCAACTTAAACTTAATTTTAGAATTCTTAAACTGAAGTTTAAGAAGCGATGATAATTTTGGGGAACAAAATCTAAATTAAGGAATAAGAAGGCCTGAACGCCTCGAAGACAGAAACAGTCAAACGGCCCAAGATTTTTCCCTAGTCGCTGCCCTCATTTCACAGGAATTAGGAGCAGAAGGTCAGTAATTAGGCTTGTGTACAAGGCGCACCTCCGGGAGCTGTTTTAACACAGTAATAAATGTAGCTCCTTGATATTTTTTATGGGACAGAGTGACTACTTTTCCTATACCAGCTCTTATTCAGAGACCTGTCTCCGCACTGATTTCCCGTAAAATGAGTATCACTCGAGAGCCTGTGGGTCAATTAATTTAGAGGGATTCAAAATGGTTGGTTTTGGATGGCTCCATGCCCTCGGTATTTATACACAGGATATCATTAACATGCAGAAAGGCAAACGATGAGCTCTGAGAGTCTCTGGAGAAGTGAGAAGGAAGTGGAGGAGGAGAGACGAGTGCAGCTTTCTGCCATCCTATTACATCTGTCTCATCCTGCAAAGCACTGCCTGACTGTCTCCATGGTTTTTACAAAGTCTGCATGCTTCACTGTCCCTGTGAGGCTGTGAGACATACATACACATCTGTGAATGCATGGAGGAGTGTGAAGAATATCAGATTCATAGACAGTGGAAGTGAATAGGGAAACAAAGAAGAAGAAGTGTATGGTTTGACAATATTGCAAAAACTAGGGATAAACTGATAGCAAGCTTTCTCCATAACGTGCATACCCTGAGCAGGTAAGCATTGTAAAGAACAATGCACATGCTTTAGTCATGGCTGTACTGGATGCCACCATCTAATCACCTAGAGCCTACGATGGTGTCTGGGCCAGGATTTCCAGAAGGAAGTGTGTATTTATCAAACCAGGACTCGGCTCTGTGAAGGCCTTTAATCCCCTCCACACTGACTGCCTGCTGCTTATCAATGAAACAGCCAAGGAAAAGAAGACTGAGCCAAACACAGTTTCAAAAGACAAGGGCAAGTGGGCACATGATGCCAGCTTTGCCATTCAAATTTGCTTTGCCCCCATTTTCAAGCAGGGTTTCAATATGCTACATTTGTGTCTTTTCTTGTGAGGAGACACACTGCCAACATTTGATAATGCACAGCTGCACAGACACAGAGGCAGGGTGTGCTATATCATATCATTCACGATATATCAATATATAAATAATTTTTTATACAATCAAATAAATTCATATTGTGATGACGGCAATATTCCGACTTGTTGATGTAATGACCCCATACTGTTATACACCGCAACAACAAGCATGGCTGATGGCGAAAGTAACATTGCTACTGGTTCTTCCAAGAGGAGTTTCTTCCAAAGATGGGAGCAACTTCAATAGTGTGGACGTGGTTGGTTACAAAAGATCAGATCTACAACAAACCACAGTAATATGTAAGAAGTACAAGAAGACTGAAACAACAAAAGGGGGCAATACAGCCAACTTATTTCACCACCTCAAGCAGAAGCACCATTTTGAGTGCGAGGAGAGCCAAAAAGCCTGTGAGGAGAGTTCAAGAACTATCGTGAGTTCTAAACCCAAAATATTGTTCTGTATTTTGTTATATCGTCAAGATAGGGCTGGGCAATATGGCCAAAAATTGTATTATGACAAAAAAATTCATATAATTTGATATCAATAATTGTCAAGATAACAAGAAGAAAGAATTTCCCCTCGGGGATCAATAAAGTATTTCTGATTCTGATTCTGATTCATCAAATCATTATTCCTTTTAAGTTTAAAGACAGATTTTTGCTCCTGAGTGAAAGTTGAAGAAACCAGATGGTTAATTGTGGTTCTATTTCATTCTTCCTGACCACCAGAGACAGTGCTTAAGACTGGATGTTATCCGTCTCGCGCACGCGCAGGTTGAGTATTTAATATCAACGAAGTCACCTGTGACCTGGGATGATGCGGGGCGTAGCTAGTGTAAGCCCACGTCATCAGGAAAATGTCCCTTGATTCTTCTCGCAAATCCGCGAATGCAGGTTGAGTTGAAGGAAGGAAGAGAAGAGAATAGCCATCATATTGTCACTAGAAGCCCTGCTACCACATGGTTGGAGCTACAGTTTCATCCTCCAAGGGCTGCGGTTGATTCGTACGGCTGCGCTCCTAAACCTGCTGTTAGATCGGTGTTTTCGCCAGCAATCAGCACGGGTTGAGGACAAGCTAGCGCGTGTCTCCCCAGCTTGGATTTAGGCCAGCGAGGTAAGTGTTTCCTTAGTTAAAAATAAGTTATGAGCGAGGAGCCTGGTTTCGGGTCTCCTTGACTCTTTTTGTTACTGATTGTTTTACGCTTAGCGGTAGTTCTTAGTTGATTGTAGGCTCTGCCGAGTGTTTTCGCTCGTTAAAGCATGTCACGTAAACTTTAATTTATCCTTTGGCAAAGAGAGTTCGCTCCCCGGTAGACTTAAACGCTACATATTTGTGATTTTTAAAATAAAAGACAGACTCTCTCTGATCTGTTACTCTAAGTGACTTCGCTTATGGGTACAGTTTACTTTTTATTTTGAAAAGGAATTTTCATTTGTCTTCAATAACAAGGCAAGGACATATGTGCTCACTT